GAAAACATTTTTCCAAAAAAAAAAAAAAAAATTAACATAAGCAGCACCACATTTCCCAAGTGTCAGGAGCTCCAGAGCTGGAGCAGAGGTCTGGAATACCCCCACATCGAAAAGAAACCAACCCCATTCTGGCTGGAGGGGGTCAGGCCGATAAAAAGACGCTTCTGAGGGGACCGGTGCTTTGCCGCTGGGACGCCAGGCGAGGAGGGGCCAGGGAGAAGGAAGGGGGGCAGTTCTGTCATGTAGGGCAGGAGAGGAAATGGTGACAGAGGCAGAGGTACTGACACCGGTGGCTCGGCCCTCAGATGGCAGCGCGGGTGGGCGTGCTGGGCTGGTTCAAGCGCAGCGTTCTGCAGAGCCAGCCGGCAAAATCCACCTCCTCCACTTCCGAGCGTTTGATGAAGGTGTGACTCTGGAAGAGAAGGGGAACAGGGTTAGGAGCACGGCCGGGCACTTCTCAACCCCCACAACCCAACCCCGGTCCACTGGCTAGAGCCCTGTGACCCGATAAGATTCCACTGCTACAGCTCAGGCGGTGAAACACACTTGAGAAAATATCTGTTCCTTGCGATGCTGTAGCCAGGATTTTAGTCTGCGCTGGCCACAGAGCTCAAACACGGGCATGGGAGCAAGGAAAATTTAAAAGAGAGCAAGGTGCCGCAGCTCCCCCACAGCAAACCCTGCTCCCCGGGGACAGAGAGGAACGGAGGAGCGCAGGCAAGGCAGGACAACCGTCGCACAAGGGCGTGGGGCCACAAGGACACGGGCCACATCCTTTGCGAGGGTGACGTGGGAGCACCAAGCTGTAGCTCAGGGGCTCAGCGTGAGGCTGAGGAGGAAAGCTGAGGTCAGCACGGTTAAACTGGGGTCACAGAAAGGTTTGGATTGGAAGGGACCTGAAAGCTCATCTCATTCCACCCCCCTGCCACGGGCAGGGACATCTCCCGACAGACGAGGTTGCTCAGAGCCCCGTCCAACCTGGCTTTGGGCACTTCCAGGGAGGAGGCTTCCACAGCTTCTCTGGGCAACCTGTGCCAGGGTCTCACCACCCTCACAGAACAGAATCTCTTTCTTATATCTAATTTAAATCTCATCTCTTTTCAGTTTGAAACCATCATCTCTCATTCTGTCACTACACTCCCTGATCAAAAGCCCCTCCCCAGCTTTCCTGCAGCCCCTTTTAACCCCTGGGAGGCCGCTATAAGGTCTCCCTGGAGCCTTTTCTTTTCCAGGCTGAACAATCCCAACTCCCTCAGCCTGTCCTCCAGCTCCCTCACCACCTCCGCAGCTTGAGCAGGTCCACATCTTTCTTTACGCTGGGGACCCCAGAGCTGCACACAGAACTCTGTGTGTGTTGGGGGGGTCCTCTCACCAGAGCAGAGGGGCAGAACTCCCTCCCTCCCTTGACCTGCTGGCCACGCTGCTTTGGGTGCAGCCCGGGACGAGATTGGCTTTCTGGGCTGTGAGCACGCATTCCTGGCTCACGTTCAGCCCGTACATTTCCATTGGCCCAGCTCGGGAGATGGAGGTTTGTCCCAGGCACCTCTGCAGACACGGGACAGCCGGGTGGTTCCCATCCTGGGCTCTACATGGGCTAGATACCATCGCTGCCTTTGAAGCAAAGGTGAGTGAGTCACTCCCTCTCCCAGGCTTTAGTTGGCTCATCTTAAACTCAGCCTGGGAGTTTCCAGCCTTCTGAGTAAGAGGCACAGAGGGATGGGGCAGCAGTTTGCAGATCTGGTGCCACTCTCACAGAAGCAAGGAAATTGCTGTCCCTACTTACCATCAGCATCTTCAGATCTGCCCGTTCTGCTGGGTTTTTAATTAAGCTGAAATGAGAAGAACAAGAGTGCAAAACCAACGCTGAGACATTTCTTGTGGGAAACCAGTTATCTGGCTGGAGAGGTCTCCAGCTTCACTAAAAGCCACTCAGGCTCCTGGCTGCTTTCCCCAGGAGCCTGGCGGCATGGGAACAGCTCAGAAAGCACCATCCCCAACAGCCCAGCTCCACGGGAGAGCTTCAGGAGCTGCCCCCTTCTACACTATGTGGGTGAACTGCACCCTGTGAGTGGAGAAATGGACGTAACACTTGGCGGGGATGAGTGATTTTTATGATAACCCATTTCTGTGACTTCATGGCAGCACCTTCAGGTGTCCCCTCAACAGCATGAGAAGGTCTGGATGTCGACGGTGAGTGTCTGCGAGGCTGGAGGGTCACTCCGAGCCCCAGCATTGTTCTCCCTCATCCACCCCTGCCAGGCTCATATTTAGAGGGTGCTGGGACACTGCGAAGCATCACCACAGATAAACCACTCCCAAGGCAGGAGTTCTCAGTGGAAGGCAGGATCCTGCTGTAGCCAGCGAGAGAGCACCTACGGGGAGCACTGCTGAGGCTTTTGGGTGAAGCAGCAGCACACAGAGCTGTCAGGGAGCACGTACAGACACCCACCTTCAGCCATCCCCAAAAATCCTTACCATTTATTTACAAACTCCTGGAAATCTTGCGTGAAAACTCCATTCGGTAGCTTGGGAGGTGGCTGCAGAGAAAAAGAGAATGGTTTTCTGCATCACCACGCGTTAACGGGTCAAAAAAATCAAGTGTCATTTACAGTCTTTAACGAGCTGCACAAAAACTGTGCTCTACAGCTATCTTCCTCCTCCGAGCTGCCCTTTACAACCAGGGAACTGCTCCCTGCCCTTCCTCACCCTGGCAGCACGCGGCTGGGCTGGCAGCAAACTCCTGCCCCAGCGCGACGCGCGGCTGGGGAGAACCCCGTGCTGAACCCCTGCCAAAGCTGGGAAACCAGAACTGCAGCATCGCAATTCTGGATCCAACCTCGCAAACCCCAGCTCTGGCAAATGCCTACGACAGACACAGTTGTTCCAGGAACGATAACGGGGGGTGATAAGGGGTGGTCACTCCTATCACCTTGGAAGGGGAAGTTGCTCTTTCCACTTGATGGTGGGATGGATCCTCCCTTAAAAGTCTGGCAGGACGTTTCAACCTGGGGGTTTAGCACTGGTCACCCTCAAAGGGCTTCGTCTGAGAAAAACGTGTGTGACCTCGGCACCCAGGCAGAGGGAGCGTCTGAAATGGCCGGTAAAGAAATACCCACCTCATTAACTATATAATCCAGCAGTTCAAAGATGGCCATCGCAGGCCGGTTGTCCATCCCGTGGCCTGCATGGTTAAGATGACAAAAACAGTGGTGAGAAACTGTTCGGGGACAGCCAAGGGCTTCATTTCGTGTGAAAAGCACATGTGTTGTGGGGTTTTTGCTGGGAGAGGCAGAGGCACTCCACTTGGGAACAGGCTCACCGTTTAAAAGAAATAAAAAAAATAACAGAGAGAAAACTAAAACACATTCCAAAATTTCGGATTTCTTTCCCCGTGCCTATAGTCCAGATTTATTTCCTAGCTTGGAGCATTTGGACAGCACCAGACCATCTGCTGTGGCAGGCTGGCAGCGCTTCTAGAGCCTTCTGCTTCCAAGCAAACGGCTCAAGCAAAACCCCCGTATTTGCTACTTTTACAAGAACTCCCAGCAAAGCTCTTTCCAAAAAGCTGCCTCTAGCTTGAAAGGAACCTGGTGGCAGCACGGGCAGGGCAAAGCCTGAGGAGCAACAGGGGCTGTGACCGTGTCACTAAAAGCATCTCCTCCAAGGAGTCCACACGCTGACAGGCTGCACAATCCCCAGCACCGGGTGCTTTGCTGCATGGTGTGAGCTTTCTTGCGAGATACAGCAGGGTCTAAAGGAGCCCACAGTGGGCTGAGCTCTTCCAAACCTTAAGAGACCCCGGCTGGCACTCCGAGTCTGTTCCTTCACAGCATCCTGAGAGCAATCTCCACCTCCCCATGCAAGACCAGGCTCCCGCCTGCGCTCGTGAGGAATTACAAACCTTCGCAGTCGAGTGGATCCTGCTGGAGCACTGACGCGGCCTCCCTAGAAACTCTCACCTCCCCACCACAACCTCATCCAAAACACCAAACAGAACCCAACCCCCTTCTCCCCCACAGCTGTATGTTTTTTTTTCCGATGTATATGACAGCCCCTACCACTGACGGGGCGTCCTGGGGGCCTGGCCCGCGGCGAGATGCTGTGAGACTCTCCCTCTGCCCCGTCCACCACAGGACGGCCAAATATTGCTTCCAGTTCCTTGGAGTCTGGCGGGGGGATTGGGTACCTTCCGATAGACAGCTCCACTAACGACAGACCCATGCTCCAGATGTCCGACTGGACCGAGTAGTGGGTGCCCTGCAACCGCTCGGGCTGGAAGGGAAGATCACAGAAAAAACACACCGTGAGAACAGGACGTCAAGAAGCAAAATGAGGAATATCATGCCCTGAAAGTAAATAGACACGACTCGATACCCTGATGGCCCCTCCGGCTCGGCTCTCCACCCCTCCAGGGAAAGGGCTGTCCCAAAGGGGTCCCAGGTGAAAAAGGATGCAAAAAAAAGCTCAGGTGCAAACATAAAGCACTTGTGTGCATCTCAACAGCTGGAGGTGAGCAGCATTTATGGCTGCTTATACCTAGGAGTCCAGAGTACTCAGTAGGAATCTCTTTCTCTCTATGCTGAGATCTAATGAACTCAATTTATTAACTTTTTTTTTTTTCCCTGCTCATTCCTGTTAATGCCTAGAAGGAGGAGCAGAATCACAGAATTATTGAGGCTGCAAAAGACCTCCGAGATCATCAAGTCAAAAGAAAATCCACTATAGGCTCTTACCCCTGAAAGGCTTCCCCAACAACTCAGCCATGGCCATGCAGGGCACAGGGGGAAGACCCCCCCTCTCCTCTGCCTTTCAACCAGCAGAACCAGGGGGAATCGAAGCCAGCCTGGAGGTAATTTTATTGTCATGGACACCACATTGGCTGCAGTTTAGCTAAAGCTGACGATGACTCTCATTTAAAGGAGAGGCACAAGCAGCTCTTCCTGCAGTTTGCTCTCTCTGGCCAATTCCAATTTGGCTTTAATTTACCATTAGCCTGTACCAAAACCTAGCTGCGCTAAACTGGTTTTACCCCCATTTTCCTAGTATGACCACAGGGTAGAAGCAGCAGAAGTGCGTGCACCAGCATCCATGTCCCCTCCGCACTCAGTTGTTTTTGGACAGAGCTTTTCCTAAAGAGAAGATGCTTTTGAACCCAGAAACACTCGCCAAAAATCAAATATGGAAGTATTTGTAGGATGCAAAACATCTTCGCAAGCCTCTGCACTTCCACACGCGCTGCTGCCAGCCGAGCAAAGGCTGGAGCTGACAGGATGGAAACACAGAGCAAGACCGTGAGAGAACTGGACATTACACACTGATTCTGTAAGAGCCGAGTTGAGCCCAAATTATCAAAAAAACACAGTAGATAGTAAAAAGGAACTTACAGACATGTAGGACCGAGTTCCCACAAAAGAGTTTGCCATGGAGTCAATGAGTTGACCGCTGACCCCGAAATCACACAGCTTAATCTCTCCTCGAGAATTAACCAGGATGTTAGAAGGCTTCACATCTGACAACAGCAAGAGAAGAGCGTAAATGTGACTCTAGATAACTAAACTAAGTGCTCTGGTACCACGGGCAGTTATTTTTGGGTTCCTCCTCTCACCTCTGTGCATGATTTGGTGCTTTTCTCTCAGATATGCCAAGCCTCTCAGAACCTAGAAGGAAACCAAAGACAGGGTGAGATCAGAGCTGGGAAGGGAAGTGCCTTCCCTGCAGCTGGACACATTGCCCAAACTCTGGGTGCTGCCACGCTGCAGCCTGGTGAGGAAAGCCACCCTGTAGTTTCAGGGTTTGCAATTTATCACCAAGTAAATCCCAGAACTTGGGTTTACTGCCTGAGAAAGCTTCTCTCAAATCCTCTCCACACGAGGCCAATACCCGCTGGCACAACATAGGGGTTGGAGCTAAGGAGAGGGGTTGGGAATGTGTTTTCCCCCCTCCCCTCTCACACACACCACTGCTCTTGCACTAGGTCAGGATAGGAAGACCCATATGTGGAAAACAAAGAAACCTTCCTAATTATTCCCAGACTGTGCCCAGCAAACCCCTTCTGAAAGCCTGGGGAGCTGCCATAACTCACCGCTATACTGACTTTCCCCAAAATCTCCTCGGGAATTCTTTTGGCTTCTTTCAACACTTGATCCAAAGAGCCGCCATCCTAAAATAAAGAACATCAAAGTGACCAACACGGCAATCCCCAGCAGGAAAACAGAACGGCTAGCTGCACAGCCAAGGGTGCCCAGGGAGGGCAAGCAGTATCAAAGCAGCACACAGTACCCCAGCATAGCCATCTGAAATGATTCAGCATCTCTTTCAACAGCAAAAAAAGAGAGCTATCTAGTGATCAGAGCTCAAGCTTCTTCCTGAAAACTATTTTAAGGCTATCTTCTATCAGCTCTACTTCTTGATATTAGTTCTTCGCTTCCTTTCTGTCAGTGGTAAATGCAAAGATGATGCTGTCGGTGTTGATCCAGAGGAGCGACAACACCATTCTCTGCTACAGAGAAGAGAAAACGCACACTGTGCTTCAGAGCAAGCTCTGCAGCGTGGCAGGTTTACAACATTTCCGTTTGGCCTCCCCCAAACCCCTGTTTCCGCTTTCCAAAAAGTTGGTCTCTGTCATTTTGATGCCTCCACCCGAGTGTGCAGCTCCCACCAGGAGCGTGGTGGCCTCGTTGCAGCCAGAGCGAGGAGCCGTCGCAGCTGCCAGCACCCAAACCTGTTTCACCAGCAATTCCCAGTGTTGGGGAGAGGGGACTTAGAACAGGCCAGGGAGCAGCAGTTTGCGGAGGAGGGTTAGGGACTCACCATGTGCTCCATGCAGATGGAGATCTCTCCATCGCTGTAGAAGGCTCCATAGAAACCCACGATATACGGGGAGTTACACTCGTGCAGCACCTGCAGCTCTCGGATAATCTGATTCCTGATGGCTGGTTTGATTTCTAAATGAATCAGCTGCCAAGAAAGAAACAAAATATTCAAGGTGTAACACCTGGGAAATCTTACAGGCATCATGTTAGCAAGTCCTGAGTGCTGGAAAGAATCAGAAGATAAACATCCTTCAAAGGAAGATCTGCTTTGGCGTAGACTTTTTGCCACTTGCATGCTAACATTGAGGGTAAAGGGAAAGGTAAAGCCCCATACAGCCCGTTAGCGATCGAAGCAACTGCCGACCACGTAACACATGGACATCGCACAGGACACAGAGCAGAAAGACAAGTCAGAAGTTTGATGCAGATCTGACTCAGCAGACAGGAACATTTTCACAAGTTCGGGAGGTGTTGTAAGAAGAGGTGCTCTGATATCAAGGAAACCACAGAAAGTTAAAAAAAAACAACATCAAGAATCTGCACGTGAAAGAGCGATTGCTTTACTCCTTTGGCTCCACAGAGAGTCAGCAAACAAAGCTGTGGGGAGGGAAGCCAGAGGCCAGAAAATACAGTGGCAGGTCAGAAAAAAGAGCCACTGTTACTGTGAGCTCTAGGGCACCCAACCCCAGGGGCGTCTGTCCTTCCTGCAGATCTGCAAAGGCCAGCGTCTGCAGGAAGGAGAGCAGCGCTGCAGCCTGCCCTCGCTTCAGTTTCTGAACACAGAGCTTCCAACAATCTCAAAACCCCTCAGTGACACCCCAGTCAAAGGCCTTGGAAAAATTCAAGAGCTCAGCTCTGAGCGAAGCCATCTAGAGAAGCAGATTTACTCATGAGACCCATCAAACCATCCCAACAGCAGGTGAGGCCAGAGGCTTCCAAGGAAGCCGTCCTACAGAAGAGCTGTTGCACCGTCCTCGCCTAGCCCTGGCTTTCTCACAGGCAGATGAAGCTTCTCCTACGTCTCTACAGCAGGGCACCACAGGAGAAGATGTCACCCACAAACCCACATCTGAGAGGAACCAGTGTCACAGCTGCTTGGAACTGCTTTGGGGATCTGTGGCAAGGAATGTGTGTGTGCCAAACCTGTCCCTCCACCTGCCACTTCCAGTCCTCGTCAGCCACCACCTAGGAGGCTCGAGAGATCGGCCTCCTACTGCTCCCACCCCTCCTGCCCCCAATTACCTTCCGTGCCATAATGAGCCCTGAGGGTTTGTGCTGCACTTTGGTGACCACGCCACCATTGCCAGCCCCCAATTCAGAGATCCTCTCGAAGTCATCATCCTTCAGCTCGCCCACTTTGGCTTTCTGTGTGAGGAAAGCTTCCAGGCGCTTCTTCTGCTGCTCGTCCAGCTCCAGTTCCTCGAGCTTCTTCTGAAGGTCCACCAAGTTTGCCCTGCAGAGCAGAGAAGGAAATAGGAGAGACAGTCAGGAGACTGCGAGGGCAGCACCAGAGAAAGAGGATTGGGGGTTTTTTTTTTTGAGGGAAATGGAGGGAAATAACTGAAACCCATCATCTGACATGTACTCGGCCCCTGATATAGCAGCAAGGGTAAAGGAAAGCTCTGGGGAGAGGCAGGGCTCAGCTCCGATGCTGACAGGGTCACACGGACAGTGAGATCCGTGGTGCAATATCTGCCCAATATGCACATCTCCTCGGGAGAGGAGCTTCAGTGCAGTCAGCTGTTTCGGGAAAGCCAAGGAGTAGGAAAAATCCTTCAACCCTTAAAGAAGCAGCACAGCTCAGCCTGGAGAGAACAGCAGCACCAGCAACCTCTCCCAACACAGGAGCCAAGCT